AATTTGGATCCATTTGTTATCCGAATTCTTGAACAAATTTAAAAATTAAATTCATTTTCCCATGGGTCTGAACTACTATTGCATCATGTGCCATCCGAATGAAACAAATGCATTTGTTAATTTCATTATAGCTTTTTTTCAGATTTGTTGCCATTCATTTCTGTGTCCATTCGGAGATTCAGATACATCCGAATCTCAAAAACAAATCAAAACGAAATTAATCACACGTCTACCTGGCTTTAAACACTTTTAATGTGACAACAACACTGTGCAGGAACCTTAAGGCCTCTGTGTCCCTGTGAAGCCTGCTTGAATCCTCTGCCCAAGTCAAAATCCAGTCCCATCCTTCCTGCCATTAAGCTCCATCCCTGTCATTTAGCTGTCAAACGCCAGAATTTCAGTAGGCAGTAGACCCTCTTGCTTTTGAAAACTTATTGATAATGGGTGGAGTTCAAAGCTGTAAGGGCTCATTTATACTTATTTCAATATGTGGCATTGGATACTCTTTTTAAAGCACCCTGAATGCCAATGAAAGCTCCTGTCACTTGGCTAGCTTATAGTCCTGTTTACATGTTGTGTTTTCTATGCTTTTCTTCATTTCGCTTCATAAATTATACCCCATGTGACTTTTCAGTTTTCAAGCTCACAAATTGCACCTGCAATTTTTGAGAGGCTTTTATTCAGCTTTAGCTTCACTTTGTTTTGGAGGTATTGCAGGTATGAGATATCCCAGAATGCACTGGGAGACCAATAAGCAAACCAGAAAGATGTTATCAGCAGTCTCTTCTGGTTCATGTTTATATTCTGGAAGTGTCTGGTGCAGATGTCATATTTGGTGAGTAGGGTCCGGGCTAAAGCAAAGCAGCTAGCAGATTGCACACGTGGTGTGCATCATTGGAACGATATAATGGAAGGTGAGTGGGGACCGGAGAGAGAAGACTGAGCAGCAAAGGATCAGCAGAGCTGGCAGACCAGGAGAAACTAGCAATGTCACTTGTGGTGCTCAGCGAATGGAGCAATAAAGTGAGAGGTGAGCAGGGACTGAAGAGAGAAGAGGAGCAGCAAACCAGAGGATCAGTAGAGCTGCTGGTTACTGCTGATGGAAGATCAACAGAGCTGGGGGTACTACTGAGCAGGGGATCTGCTGAGTGAGGGTACTAATAAGGTGGGGATTTGCTGAGCAAGGGTACTAATAAGGTGGGGATTTGCTGAGCAAGGGTACTAATAAGGTGGGGATTTGCTGAGCAAGGGTACTAATAAGGTGGGGATTTGCTGAGCAAGGGTACTAATAAGGTGGGGATTTGCTGAGCAAGGGTACTAATAAGGTGGGGATTTGCTGAGCAAGGGTACTAATAAGGTGGGGATTTGCTGAGCAAAGGGTACTAATAAGGTGGGGATCTGCTGAGTGAGGGTACCACTGCTAAACAGGGGTACTAAGGAGATGGAGATCTGCTGAGTGGGGGTATTACTGGGCAGGGGATCTGCTGAGCGAGGGTACCAATAAGCTGGGGATCTGCTGAGTGAGGGTACCAATAAGCTGGGGATCTACTGATCGGGGGGATGGAGATCTGCTGAGTGGGGGTATTACTGAGCAGGGGTTCTACTGGGCCCCTTTAAAACACATAGAAAATTAAAAAATACACACAGGGCATCATGCCAAGCTTTGTTAAAGCTACAAAAAGGAATCATCGTAGCATCACTGAAGCATCAAAACACATCAAAAAGCATGCAGTAGGTGGTAGTTGCTTTAAGATGTGTTGAAGTCAAAGCAAGTATAAATGATCCCTAAGAGGGCTAGGCTTTTTTACTTCTGGCAGCCTGAATTAAAATACTCATTATATAAAATCGCAATTCCATTGGAATCTATAAATATCTATGCACGATTCCTAAATATGTGTGGCTAGCACTCAAGGTATCCAACTAGCCATCAATGGGACTCATTCACTCTGTCCACACTAATGCAGCTATGAAAGCAGTCTGCACCAAGTGATTCAATCAAGCAGTTTGTTTTAATGAATTGCCCTGTTGTCACAGCGCTATCACAACCTGAGATAGGTGCCTTAATACAATCACACCACTGCATACATTGGAGGATACTTACAGTATATATATAAGTGGAGCAGGCCTTCATCATGGAAAGGTTGAGGTTAAATGTTGTACATATGATATTAAGAAAAACAAACTCTTGGATCAGACAAAAGTCAAGTAAATAAGCATAAGCATAGGAGGATTCATTTAAACAAACACAATTAGGGAAGCATAAAACCTTGGGGATCAGGTGGATCATAATAATAAGCACTTAAATCCTAATGGAGATTAAGGGGATTGAATGCATTTGGCAAAAAAGAAAGACCCTTCAAAGGCTGCATGAGTCAATGTAGTGGGATAGGCATCTCTGCTATGAAAGTGTAGCAGTGCCCTAGTTATTTTACCAAGCCCATCAAATGTTTTCTGACATAAATCCAATGGAAGCCCACACAGAATTATATGGATAAAAAAAATCATTTTATTTTCAAAGAAAATAGATTCAAAACAACAAAATACATACTTTTGACCACCATATTATTTGTAACTGTACATCGACCCTTATGACATAAACATCCCTGCCACACATTGAGGGTTATTTACTAAAACTGAAGAGTGCAAAATCTGGTGCAGTTCTGCATAGAAACCAATCAGCTTCCAGGTTTTATTGCCAAAGCTTAATTGAGCAAGTTGAAGTTAGAAGCTGATTGGGCACCATGCACAGCTGCACCAGATTCTGAGTGCTCCAATTTTAGTAAATCAACCGCTATATTTCCAAAAGGTGCCATTTCTGTTCAGAGTCTGCAGCTCCATAGGTTTATTGTGCTACTTCCAAATTAAAAGCCAGTTCACTGGATTATAGATAAGCATCACTAAAAGGAGGTCCTCCTGAAAGCTCCCAATGTCTGAAACATGGTAGTATGATAGCAGCATGCACTGTAACAGAGCCCAGTTAGATGACATTTTACACACTACAAATCCCAAAATGGTTTCTAGCTTGCATGTGATTGTAATAACTCAATATAAAGAAAGACCTTTGTGTGTTGTGCTAGCAGTATTTAAAATTTAACCACCTCCCGTCCGGCCATTGTATATAAAAATGGTCGGATGGTGGCAGTGCAGGGCGGGTGGCCGTTTATAAACGGCCTCCCCGCACCCTGCTTGTGCGCGCTCCCTGGGAGTGCGCAGCACCGCGATCTGGTGCCCGCTGTGCCCTCCCGACACAGTGGAACACCGATTGTCGGACAGGACCTCTGTGTGAGGTCCCGATCATATGATCACTGATTGGCCAATCAGTGATCACATGCAGAGTGTAAGCAAGATGTCACTTGTGACATCATTGCTTACTACTGGTGAAATCTGTGAATGATCACAGAGGTCACATGGTACAAGGCTATTCACAACAGCCCTGTACCATGTGACAAGCTGTGACCAATCACAGCTCACACAGTAGTTCTAAATGGCTGCAAGAATGCAGCTAGAGAGAAGGAGAAATGATTGCTTTTGCAGCCTTTATGGGTGTAAAAGCAATCAGTGTAAAAAAAAAAAAAAAAAAAAAAAAATCTTCAATCACCCCCCACCATGGTGACACTGTACTGCTAGGGTGACAATATGTAAAAAAAAAAAACACAATATAAAAAAAAAAAAATAATTTTGGTTATAAAACTAATTTGGGTTTTTTTTTTTTTTTACTAAAAAGATAACGAAATACATTTTGGCCAAGATTTATGATGAAATACTATTTGCAAAATTTTATTAAAAAAACGCTTTTTTGCAAAATTTTTGGATTTTTTCATTTACATAGCAAAAAAAAAATAAAAATCCTAGTGGTGAATAAATACCACCAAAATAAAGCTTTATCGGTCTAAAAAAAAAGCTAAAAAATTCATATGGGTACAGTGTTGCATGACCGTGCAATTGTCAAAGTGTAATAGCACTGAAAGCTGAAAATTGGCCTGGACAGGAAGGGGGTGAAAGTGTCCGGACTGCAAGTGGTTAATAATGTTTGATTTAACATGCAAGTGGACTAGATGGCATGTTTGTTACTCACATGTCTGTGCCTAGAGGTTTGTTTTAAATTTTATGTCAGGTCAAAAAAAGGAGACATTCAGAGCATCTCTGTAATACATAGGCATTTCCCAATTCTTATCAATTTAATCTGCCAGAAATCCAGCGGGATCCTAATTTCCTGTTTAAGTTGACAACATGGTGCCATTTCTGCACTAATATCCCAACCAATGTTGTCACCCTCTGCCTGCTGGACTACATATCCCCTGTACATCTCTGCCCCTCTCCACATGCATACATCAGTTTCTTCCCCAGCAAAGCAATGCTGCTGCCCTGACTCCCAAGATCCTCTCCACGCACTGCATGTATTTCAAGGGAGCATGCCTATATTAGTAGGAACGGAGCACCCAGCAACTGCCCCTGCAAGAATTTTACAAGTCTGATAATGATATGAGAGGAGGTAGTAAATACTATTTCTTGCTAGAGGAATAAATTACAGTGTTACTAAACCTACAACAGTAAAATCAGTCTGTATATGCACTAAATCATGCTTGTTATACTCACTGATGGAACCTAATGGGGTCAATCCTCTGCATTGTGTAAAAGGCCGTTTGATCCTTTCTTCACTGTCCCTCCCCTTTTTCAAGCGACCACCTCTTACCTCCCGATAAGATAGACTGAACCGTAGGCATTTGCACATACTCAGTTTGGTGTGTATTGCTAGACAGGTTTTTTTTTTTTTCCATGGACGAGTGCATGTGATCAGCACAGGGCCAATCATCACTGTCCAAACAGAAGGTCAGTGGTTTTGCAACCTCCTAGAAGAGAAAGAAAACTCCTCCTACAAGCTTTAACTAGTGCTGGGCTGGATACAGATAGAAGTCACAAGATTGCTCTAACTGCTGATGAGAAAAGGTATTCAGCAGTTTATATTTACTAAAATAATTGCATTTCCATGTTGTGTGTACTGTGGGAGACCAGATATAGTGAATGCAGGGTCCTGGGTTTAGTAACACTTTAAAAGACAACAATATGGGATATGCACTAGAGCAGGCAAAATTTCTCAGCACTCATACCCACTAGCCAGCAAAAAAATAAATATCACCCAACTCAGCGCTACAGACATTCAATACTTTATTTATTACAGGTACTTATATAGCACCATCAATTTTTGCAGCACTTTACATACAGTATATGTATTGTACATTTACATCAGTCCCTAACCATCAAGGAGCGTACAATCTAAGGTCCCTAACTCACATTCATACATACACATACTAGGAATATGGAAGAGGGATTATCATATCTGTCACCCAGCTATGCCTTCTAGAGACCAGCAGGGATGCTATGTGTTTGGAAAGTTCGGTACTATGTAAAAGTATTAGGTATTTTTTTTAAATGTTGTAATGTGAGGATGCTTTAAAAAAATTATGAAATTAATATTTTTTACAGGTACTTATATAGCACGGCCAATTTACATTTATATTGTACATTCGCATCAGTCCCTGCCCTCAAGAAACTTACAATCTAAACTCCCTAACGCACATTCATACACATACTAGGGCCAATTTAGACAGGAGCCAATTAGCCTACCAGCATATCTTTGGAGTGTGGGAAGAGTGCCCAGAGGAAACTCACGCAGGCACGGGGAGAACTTGCAAACTCCAGGCAAGTAGTGCTGAGGCTGGGATTTGAACCAATGACCCTAGTGCTGCCAGGCAGAAGTACTAAACACTTAGCCACTGTGCTGCCCCAACAACCTAAACGAACATTAATACAATGTGCAATCTCACTACTGCAGCCTTCAATTCAATATACCCATAATATGTAACACAATATAGCAATAAAAATTGTGCTGCAAACATAAAATGTGTGTTATATCAAATAAGCACCACTGTGAAAATCAAAGTGACCAGGTGTATGTTAACTAAAGATTAGTCCATCCTGCCACAGGTTTAAAAACTCAAAAGTTCAGTCTTTCTTCTGTGAATAAAAAGTGCTCCAGTGTTCAAATAAAGATTAGTCCATCCTGCAACTGTTTAAAGTGATTATAATGGCTTAAATTATATAAAAAATAAAGCAGCCTGGATCCTCCTCTTCTAGGGTCCCCTGCCAAAGCTCCTGGCCCCTTGCTCCTGTCGGGTGCCCCCACAGCAAACAGCTTGCTATGGGGGCACCCAAGCATGCGCACTCCCCAGCCACTGCTCTGTGTGTCTATTCACACACGGAGCCATTGCTCGGCCCTGCCCCCTCTCTCTTCTTATTGGCTCACTGGCTGTGACTGCCACATTTTTAGGCATTCTTATGTTTCTTTCTTTTGTTTTTATTGGTATGACACAAAACATTGAAGAAACAAAAAGCCAAATCTGACACATTCCATGCAAAAACCCAAAAATACACTGGGCAAAATTATTGGCACCTTATTAAAATTATAAGAATTAATTGCATTTGTGATGCTTGATGTTTGTGATGCTCCTGCAATCTGTAATTAAACTCACCTGTAGCAATTAACAGATCTTAATGTTCCTGTGTCCACTGCGTGCAACATTGTCAAGAAGTATACAGCCCATGGCACTGTAGCTAATCTCCCTGAACGTGGACAAAAGAGAAAAACTACGTCAAAGATTGCAACGAAGGATTGTTTGAATGGTGGATAAAGAATCTCAATCAACTTCCAGACGAATTCAAGCTGACCTTCAGGCACAAGGTACAACTGTGTCAGCTCACACTGAACGTTGCAATCTGGATGAAAAGGGACGCTATGGTAGGAGATCGAATAGAACACGACTGTTGAAACAGAAACAAAAAAAAGCCAGATTGGAGTTTGCCAAAAAACTTACCTGAGGAAGCCAAATTCCTTTTGGGAGAATGTGCTGTGGACAGACGAAACAAAAACTACAGCTTTTTGGTAAAGCTCATCATTCTACTGTTTTCAGAAAAATAAATGAGACCTCTAAAAGAAAAGAATACAGTCCCTACAGTCAAACATGGTGGAGGTTTACTGATGTTTGGGGTTGCTTTGCTGCTTCAGGCACTGGATGTCTTGACCGTGTGCATGGCATTATGAAATCTGAAGACTACCAAAAGAATTCTGGGGTGCAATGTAGGGCTCAGTGTCAGAAAGTTGGATCTCCGTCAGAGGTCATGGATCTTACAGTAGGACAATGACCCAAAGCTCATATCAAAAAGCACCCAGAAATGGTTTCAGACAAAGCGCTGGAGAAACTGAACTGGCCAGAATGAGACCAGATCTCAATCCCATAGAGCACCTGTGGAGAGTTCTCAAAACAGCAGCTGGGAAAAGGAACCCTTCCAATCTTAGAGACCTGGAGCAGTTGGCAAAAGAAGAGTGGTCCAAAATTCCAGTAGAGGTGTAAGAAACACATTGATGGTTACAGGAAGTGATTGATTTCAGTTATTTTTTTCCAAGGGGTGTGCTACTTCCCCCCATGGATGCTATGCCCGGTTAAGCTCCTCCCCCATCCTTGGACTGCACTCAGCCTTGATCGAGGACATGCAACAGAGCTGCTCCTCCCCACACCCACACATCTGAGGTTGAATTCTTTTACAGACAAAACCAGTGTGTAGCTGGCTGTTGCCGTTCTGACCTGTGAAATCCTCTGCTTGGGAAGGCAGCGGAGCTGCAACAGCCAGCTACACATTGTGCAGATTGAAGTTGTGTGTAAAAGAATCAAACCTCAGTTGTGTGCAGTGTGGGGACTTACAGAACTTTAAAGATCTGCTACTAATGGCTGGCTGCCAGATACCAGAGCATACCTTCAGAGGTCTAGTGGCATCCCTGTCTCAATGGGTCAGGGCTGTTTTGGCAGCAAAAAGGGGACCTACTCAGTATTAGGGTGGTCATAAAATTATGGCTGGTCAGTGTGTGTGCAGTTTATACACTGCTCCTCAAACAACAAACTAATAAATATCCTACTACATTTTATTATAAAGCAGGGGGGGTTAACTACAATATTCAGTGATATACATAATAATTACAGTAATCCGTAGTAATTCAATTCACATTGTTTACAATTGTTGCTACAGATCCGCTGGCTATATCCTTCAATGGATATATACTGCCCAGAGGTGAGGATTTCACCAATTCCAGCTGCTGTCACTCATTTCCCTGGAATGTGGTCAGAGGCTACAAAAACACATTAAGATGAATACCTTTTTTCAGCTTACACTAAAGACAAGGTAGCTACTGCTTCCGCATCAATTGATTTGCCTATCATTCAGCATAATATCCATTACTAATTTCAGATTTATCTAAAGCAAAAGGTACAAGGAAAAGCCAAGCAGCTTTAATTGACCTGCAGCCTTTTATTGCTTACAATCCTCTTAATTATTAGGGGCCCTCTCTGCTAAATCTTATTCCTCAATGATTTGATTTTGTGGAAAATCCTTTAATATATAAAATTCTATTCCACTGAGAGGTTTGGTTGAATCTCAAGCTAAACTTGGCAGCATCTAAATACAAATGACGAATTAGGATTGAACGATTAAAGGTTGCCATTTTGCCTATATGTTAGTTTTTGGAATAACGTGTACATATTAATTGTCATTGACATAGTTGGTGATTGAGAGTGCAGTGATGTTCAGTTCCTATGACAGTCTCACAGACATAATCAGAAAAAGGAAAATGTTACATTTACTGGATTCCATGTAATATGATAATGTGTATCTCCAGGCAGCAATGGAAACCAGACTGAAAAAATTACTGGGCAAACATTTCAATTGTGCCAAAATCAAAAATATCAGTCAAGTAGAAATCCAGGGTAAACCTAACTAGTCTTAAGTCCTCATGCACACTTGACACTTTAACAGCTGCTGTTTTGGGCTTTTGACATTTTTTTCTACAGCCAGTAAAGCCCCCAGCATGTTATCCTATGTGTCCATGCACATAGACTGTAATCAATGTTTTTTTGGCTGGAAAAAAAAACCCAGGACTAGTGGGTTTCTAGAGGAGTTTTCTAGCTGTAAAAACCCTCTAACACTGAAAAACACGGTACTGCAAACCAATGTTTTTGGATGTTTTTGTGACCAAAATATATTTGTTTGGTCAAAAAGAACGCTAAAAAATGGAAAAAACACGTGAAAATGCTGCTAAAGGCAGCAAAACGCCGCTATGCGCTAATGCAAAAATGCTAAAAAAAGCTAAAAAAAAAACTCATGTTTTTAACATGACTGTACACAGCTAACGTTACCAGCGTTATCAAATGTCCAGTGTACGTGAGGGCTAAAAATGCTCCCTCCCTCCTCCTAAGCACTCAACAACAACTGGGATTTCTGGGAGCTGTGACCTCACCCATAGGCTCTCATGGCCCATCTATTGTTGGTGCTCCTTCATGGGGGAGCTGAATCACATGACCAGACCAGAGTGGGCTGAATATAGGTAATTATATACATAATTTTTACACAAGTTAGTCTATATATGTGTTATAAATGGGGGAGTGATCATTTTTAGACCAGTTACTATTTTTTTTACCTTAACCACTTGCTGACCACTCACAGTAATTTTACTGCGGGCAAGCGGCACAATCACATACATGTACGTCATTGTGCCTGCTCAGCAAAGCTGTATGAATGAATCTCAATCATAACAGCTCTGCTTCCTATAGTATTGAGCTGTGATTGGCCCACAGCTATCACGTGGTACCTGAGCCAATCACAGCACCATGTACCATGTAGTTAGCCATAGCCAAATACAGATCACTAGTAATCACAGGTATCATGAATGCAACTCATTCATAACAGTTGCAAGTATTTCTGTTACAGTGATTATCATGATCATCATAGTAAAAATGTTTTAAAATATTTAAAAAAATGTAATAAAAATGTAATTACAAATTTTTTTTTTTACATATGGTCACCAGCCAGTTTCCCTGATCACTGCCACACCAGTTATATGATGACACTGTACTGCACTGGTGATAATATGTAAAAAGAAAAAGTGAAAAAAAAAATGTTATTTAACTTCTTCATTTTCCAAAACATTGTGA